GAGAGAGAGAGAAACATCTATTTGTTGTTCCAACTATTTATGCATTCATTGGTTGATTCTTATATGTGTCCTCACTGGGGATCCAACCCACAACCTTGACATAGCAGAACAACACTCTAACCACCTGAGCTACCCAACTGGAGCTTTATTCATTCATTCATTCATTCATTCATTCATTCATTTTAGGGACATTTTCTTTATTCATCAAGTGATGAACATTTTAGATTGTTTCTTGTCATGTATCTTAGTTTATTTTTAAAGCCACATATTATTATTATGATTATTGTTTTATACCTTTTATGTTTAATATGTTTTATAGGTGGAAAACTCAAGTTTTGCCCAAGAAAATGTTATTTCATTTTTATTTTTGAAAACTATTTGAGCTGATACAGAATTCTAAATTGGCAGTTATTCACTTTCAGTACACTGAAGACATCATCAGTATTTGGGTTCCACTGTTGCTGTTAAGACCAAAGTTCAAGTTTTGCCAGTTCTGTAAATGGCCTCATGATAAAACCAGGCTTCTATTACTTCTGTGGTTCCTGCCTTCATACAGGTTTTCTCCTGATAATTTCTTACTATCTTATCAGCTCTTAAATGCTGTTAAGATGATTGTTTTTATCTATATTTATATTTTAGTCAGCATTACTTATTTTCCGAATAAACATCGATCCAAAAAATCTGTTATGTTTAATATTATTGGAAATAAAAAAATCAAAATATTTTAAGTATATTTTATTGATTATACCATTACAGTTGTCCCATTTTTTTCTCCCCTTTATCCCCTTCCATCCTGCACCCCAACTCCCACCAGCATCCCCCTCTTAGTTCATGTCCATGGGACGTTCATATAAGTTCTTTGGCTTCTCCATTTCCTATGCTCTTCTAAACCTCCCCCTGTTTGTTTTGTATCTACTATTATGTTTCTTATTCCCTGTACCTTTTTGCCTCATCTGCCCCCCACTCCCTCCCCACTGATAACCCTCCATGTGATCTTCATTTCTGTGATTCTGTTCCTGTTCTAGTTGTTTGCTTAGTCTGTCTTTGTTTTTGTTTTTTAGGTTCAGTTGTTGATATTTGTGAGTTTGTTGTGATCATTTCATGGGTGATGTCACTAAACAAAAATTATTACCAGTCCCACCACTCCACACTACAATATACAAGAAATACAGAATATCTCAAAACTTCTAATGCTTCATTTTACCACTTATACCAAGACAAAAACAATAAATCCTTGGTGCCATGATTAAAGAAAGGTTTGCCAAAATCAATGCTTTGAACTGTCCATTAGTTTCATAGCTCTGGCATGAGGGAAATAAACCACAGTAAGATTTAGAATGGATAAGAGATATGCCTCTTTTTTATTTTTTTAAAGCAAAGGGGTAATATTGTGAAAGAGGAGGATGCAATGGCTAAAGGCAGGACTTCAAGACTGTAGATTTTTCCCAGGAAAGGGTAAATACGGAAGTTGATAATCTAGAAATTGATTTCTATAAAGCTATCTGTATTCTTGTATCCTTAGAAAACTTTTGTGTACCTTTGAGAGCCCTCCATACTTCTAGAAGTTGACTTATTTCAGTGTGAAGACTTTGAACAGTCTTCCTACTTACTACTCTTTCTTCCTTACAGTGAATTTTTCTATTTATTTATTTATTTATAATTCTTGAAGAGATGGGAAGGGAAAGAAATGGGGAGGGAGAGAAATATCAATGTGAGAGAAAAATATTGGTCAAACTGTACTTGCCCCGACCTGGGACTCAGGCATGTTCCCTGACAGGAATCAAACCAGCGATCTTTGGTTCTGCAGGAGGACACCCAACCAACTGACCCACACCAGTCAGGGCTCTAGTAATCCTTTAAAAATGCAAATCATAGCATGTCACTCTTCTTGCAACTTTCCCAGGCTACCCATTACCCTCAGAATAAAATCCAAACATTTCATTTCAGTCTTTTTGTCCATGAACTGGCTCCTGCTTATCTCTCCCCCCAGCCCCCACAGCCCATGTTTTATCTCCCACCTTCTACCTCCCTCACTCTATTCTGACCACTCTGGCATTCTCACAAGGCCACTCCCAACTTTGGGACTTCGCAGTAACTGTTCTTTCTGCCTGGAATGGTGATCCCTTTGGTAATGATTGACTTATTCCCTTGTTTCATCTTGGTCTCTTCTCAAATTTTACTTCCTCAATGACCCATTATGAAACGGAATCAATACTATCCCCTACCACATATTTCTCACTGAAACCTTTCTTGGTTTTCTGCATAGTCAAAGCTATCTGACATTATATTATTTCATCACCTTCTCTCCCCAGACAGAATGTAAACTTTATGAAATGAAACAACTTCCTCAAAGAGATATCTGCACCCCCATGTGCATTGCAGCATTATTCAAAATAGCCAAGATACGGAAACAACTTAAGTGTTTATCCACTTCTTAATTGATAAAGAAAAAGAAATACACAATGGAATATTACTGAGCCATAAATAAAGAAGAAAATCTTGTTATTTGCACGAATGTGGATAAAACTTGAGGCCATTATGTTTTGTGAAATAAGTCAGAGAAAGACAAACACTGTATGATCTCACTTATGTGTAGAATCTAAAAAAGCCGAACTCATAAAAACAAAGAGTAAATTGGTGATTGTCAGGGGTGGGAGATGGAGAAAATGGGCAGATGCTGGGCAAGGTTATAAGTTTCAGTAATGAGATGAATAAGCTCTGGGGATCTAATGCACAGCATGGTGAACTACAGTTAACAATACTGTATTTTATACCTGAAAGCTGCTAAGACAAATTTTAAATGTTCCTACTACACACACAGACACAGACACACAATGGTAATTATATGAACTGATAGATGTGTTAACTGACCTTATTTTGGTAATCATTTTATAATATGTACATATGTAAAATCATTACAAAGTTTATTCCATGATTTAAACAGCATTAATATCTACAAAGTAAACTTAGTAATCTCTATAAACTATACTAAAATCTAAAAAAATGTTTTAAAATTCTGTTTGTACAATGTTAGTACTTTTAAAACTATTTTGAAAAAATGTTTACCTACCTTTTTTGCTTTGGGACCCTAAAATTTGGAAAGAAAAAATAATTGATAAAATTTTTTTAAAAATTCAGATATTTTGAACAGTTACCTGATTATGTAAGATGTTAAAATTAGAAGAAGCTGGGTAAAGATATAAGTGAAGTCTCTATACCATCTTGGCAACTTTTCTGTAAATCTAAAATTATCTTAAAATAGTGTATTTTAAAAAAGAATTCAGACTAAACAAGAAGCAAGTTTAGAAAAAATTAAGACAAAATTTTCACTCACTGAAACATCTTTTGTAAGTAAATTTTACACTCTTTCTTATGATAGTCATTCAATAATTCATGTTTAATGAAATGCCCTATCACTAAACAGAGTACCAGTCAGAAAGGCACTAGTTTAAAGGGCTCCAAAGCACAGTCATTGACTAAGTATTGGTACTACTGTCAAGTTTGAAAGTGAGGGAATGATCTCATAAAAAATTATCTCTCTGTGAATCAAATTACTTATTTTATAGAAAGAGAAGCAGGTATTTAAAGCAGGCAAAGCTATAAATAAATGATACTCTTCAGCAGTGTGTGGAAATTATTTACAAAGCACACACACAATCTTACAATAACTAATTACAGTTACAAGTATTTTTCAGTTACACTACTAGTGATTTCCTGATCAGGCCCATGTGTCCATTAGATTTCTGGTAAGAAATTTGTAGGAGATCATGCGACTGTAAGATTAGACATTTTCTACATTTGAAGAATAATACAGGGCCAATTACTGGCTCAAACCATAAGATTATCACTGTATGAAATATAAATGTTAAAACTGACACAAAGCAGATTACATGTTCTTGAAAATTTCATATATTTAGTACATTTTGCAAATATTTATTAATGATTTATATACAAGTCACTCTAAGATGCTGGAGAATATAAAGAATAGAAGAGACTTTACTCTCATATAATTTTTACAAATGAGTTCCATTTTTAATATATTTGCTATCAATTAACAATTAACATACTTCCATTTTGAAATAAGTACAATAGAGCAGACTATATAAACAGCATTGTCCCTGCTCTCAAGTAACAGTATTTTAAAGATGGACAAATTGTCATCTCTCACTAGTGCATGTAACATAAAGTCGATTAGGGATAAGTATTGTACATATCCTCACTCCCTTGCAAATCCTAAGAAGGGCATCAGGTGGTTGAGTAATGATCAAAGTTCAGAGAGCATAAGCACAAAGAATGAACTCTATATTTTCCAGTAATTAATGAACTGAATAATTAATACATTTCCACTCCCTCTGATTTTAATCATAGAAGATGGAAATCATATTTAAGAAAAATGGGAAAAGAGATTATCTCATAGCTACATGGTGGCTTGTGCTCTTGGAAAGGACAGCTGAGTGCAAGAAAAGAAAACGCTGTGAAGTTATATCATACTTAATAAATTCAGGGCAGGCTGAATTTAAATTTGGGGGGGGGGGGAACTATTTCCACTAGGTTGATACCAATTTTTAAACCTAGCAACAGTGAGAGATTAGGACACCATCTGACCTGTCCTCCGGATACTGGATGGGGAGGACACGGATTAGGAGAAGGTCTTTCCCCCAACAGGGGTATAGGTTCTTTACTAAACTGACCTGCTCCCCTCTAAAATAAGACAGGCTCTTATTACACTATTTAACACTGGTGAAGGAGATTCAATGCTCGCGCCTTCACCTGGATCCCCCACTTTCCGTGCTCACCATGCTGAGCGAAGCACGACCCCAGTTGTCAGTCTGCAAAAGTCAAGCTGAGCTGTGTGGACAGACGCTCTTGGGTTGTCTGGACGACAAGCCCCGCCCACTTGCGCCCCTGGAAGTCAACGCAGTCCTCCTGTACCGGCCCGCGCAGTCGCACTAGGTTTTTCCGGATGGCGCCCCGCCCCTCCCCTGACAGGTTGCACCCCTCCCCCACCCTGTTTCTTCGGTTGACAGACCGAAGGGTGGAAGCCGTCTGAAGTTTTTACGGCTGTGACATGCCGGAAAGTGCGTGAGTGCCGCTACCGGGGTGTTTTGTTCTGTTTTACGGATCCTGGGGTGTCCAGTCGGTGAAGCATTCTCTGGGCGAGGATATTTCCGTGTGTAGGAAAGGGTTTTTGAGCGTCTTCTGATACTGACAGTCTCTCGCCCTCATTATCTCCCTGGAGTGCGTTGGGCGAAGAATGTTTGCGAGGGTTTCCATACGGAAAGGGGCCAACCCAGCCACGCGACTGGGTCCAGTGATGACCCGGGTCGGCTGCCAGTGGGGTGACGGGCTCAACTGGGAATTTAGATAAAGAGATTAATTGGCTCCAAGTGGATTGGTTATTTTTCAAACGAGTGACCTTTGTACTCTTCTCCTTGCACACGGTTCTGTTTATTTCCTGTGCAAGGTATATGCCTTTTTTTCCAAGAGCCTCTGTAAACAAGCACGGAAAGGATTTGAAGCAATTCCTGGGCAAAGTTATTTCTTACAGTTGACGATCGCTGAAGCCCAGCAAGGCTCAAGTTATTTGCCCAAGGTCAAAAATTGTGATAACCAGTTGCACAACCTTCAGAACCTGTCTCCTTCCCAAATGAAGAAACACTGGCAACTTAGACGAACAGAAAACTAGAAGAAATTAGTGATTTAAGAAATTAAGCTCCTCCCAAAGCCTAAACTGGTTTTTCCATGATTTTAGGACCCAAAACCCTGTTTTAGCATAACATGACAGGAAATACTTTAAAATTATTGGCACCATTTCTCATCTCTGAATTCTAATTTTATAATGCTCTTTCCCAACATCATTGATTAAATGTATTACTAATAAATATTACTGAGCTAGTCCTTGTGGGTTACAGTGTTGTTATCTCCATTGTAACATATTTATAATATCCCACCTCCAAATCCCTGGCGGTAAAATGAACATGTTAATGTCTACTTCATATATGCCTGAAGCCATTTGATATGGAAGTAAGCTTTTACTTTCAATTATTTTCAACCAAAATGCTGTTTATGGTACAAAACCTTAGTCCACTCAACTAGGATTGATGGGGGAAAGGAGGTGTTAGTTCCAAACTACCTTAAAATGGCAGGCCTCTAGGGAAAAGGACTTGCTCAAGCTCTCCTTCTTCCAGGAGGAGGAATTGCTTGGATGTGATAGAACAGGCTGGGTGGGGTGCGTTCTAGGAATCACTGTGCTATAAGAGATGATGCCGGTGAGCTTGGTTCTCCTCTCGTACTTCTCTTGCAAGCTGCAGAGAGAGTAAGAAGGCCCTCTTTTCCTTCTGATGGGTGTATTATCTACCTGTTCTGAACATAACATAACCATCTCCTTTGAACTCACTTATATGATCTGGCTTCTAGGTAGGATTAGGCCAAACTGTATGCCAGCCTTTGGAGGCAAAATCTCTTGCTACCTGTCTCTCTGATTACACATCTTTTGGTGCTGGCAAGTGTGCTGGAGTGTTTTTGTGTGAAGCTTTTTAGGTTTAACTGGTTTGGGGCAACTTGCTTTGTCTGTTTGAGTCAAGCCTACTAGAACCCAATAAGTAATAACACTGCATTGCCTTTTTGTGTGTGTGCCAGTTTTCTTTCCATTTTTATTGCCATCTGATTTTTATGGGGAAGAGTGATTAACAACAGCTTTGAGGGCCATAATCCCTAGAAAAATGACAATTCTTACTTAACCCAGGACTGGAATTAAGTCTTAGCTTCTTAGCCCACAGTCACTAGGAAAAAAAGCTGTCCATAGGGATTGTTCCTCCCACCCCTTTCCTACCACACACGTCCACATTCTCAGAATGACAGGGGACTTCTTTCAGTCTCTAACTCATTTGACTCTTTACAGAGAGAAACCTCCATGAGTTCGTGCATGGGAGCAGTCCAGGTCCCTTCTGCACTGAAATTGTTCAACAATTGCAAACCCAAGGAGATCTATTTCTCCCAAAAGCTAAAATAACCTTTAATGCCTGAATGTCAGCGTATAATAATAAACAACCTTAATTTGTTTAAATTAATACATCAATGAATGTGGCAAATTTACCTTAGCCACAGCAGCTACTTTTATTGCTGGACAAATCCAGTATTATCCATAATTTGTAAAAAGAACAACTAAAAAGTGCAATTTAAGTCACATCTATAAAAGCATGCAGAAATTTACAAGTTGTGAGTTAAATAAAACAGTGCTTTTTGCCAGGAATTAAACAGGCAACAATTTGCAATTTGAAATTATATCTATGTAGATTTAATTCAGAATTATTTTAAAAAGCACATGGTTCTTTTTTTAAATTTTGCTGAATTTGATTAGGCTTTATAAAGTTTTTTTATTTATTCATTTTTTTATTCTTGTTTATTCTGTTACAGTTGTCCCAGTTTTTCCCCCTTTGCCTTCCTCTGTCCAGCCCACTCCCCACTCCCACAGTCCCTCCCCACACCGTTGTCTTATGTCCATGGGTCATTCATACATGTTCTTTGACTAATCCCTTCCCCTTCTTTCCACCATTCCTCTTCTCTCCCCTTTCCTCTGGCAGCTGTTAGTCTGTTCCCTGTTTCCATGCCTCTGGTACTGTTTTGCTCATTCATTTATCTTGTTCATAAGATCCCCCTTACAAATAAGATCATATGGTATTTGTCTTTCACTGACTGACTTATTTCACTTAGCATAATAGTCTCCAGTTCTAGCCATGCTGTTGCAAAGGACAGGGATTCCTTCTTTCCATTGTGTAAATGTACCACAGTTTAAATTTAATCCATTCATCTACTAACGGGCACTTAGGCTGTTACCAACACCTGACTATTGTATCGAGGTCTGTCCAGAAAAAGTCCAGCCGTTGTTATAATAAGAACAGTTTGCACGACATTGATGTAACCCAGCAGCCAAGGAGAGTGGAATGGAATGCGCACATGTGAACAATGATGACTTCACTGTTCTAGTCAGTGGGGGCAGTAGATGCTGTTGAGTGAGCATGTGTACTGTGTGGCCATTGCATTCAAAATGACTGAGCGAGTAGAGCAATGAATCTGCACCAAATTTTGTGTTAAGCTTGAACATTCTTCCATGGAAACTATTCAGATGATTCAGAAAGTTTGGGGACAATGCAATGAGTTCAGCACAAATAAAAGTGTGGCACAAAGGCTTCAAAGATGGTCAAGAATCTGTTGAAAGTGATCCACATTCAGGAAGGCCTGCAACAAGCAGAACACCTGAGAATGTTGAATGTGTACAGGCTGCAATCAACAAAAATCAGTGACTGACAGTGTGAGAACTAGTAACTGATGTGGGGATTCCAAAAACTACTGTGTCCGAGATTTTGACTCAGTGTCTTGGCATAAAACGTCATGGCAAAACTCGTTCCTCAGCTTCTGCTGAGCAACAAAGAGCAGAAAGAACATCATGATGGAGTTGCTAATGATTCAAACCACTACCAATGAACCAGATTTCCTCAAGAAGCTTATAACTTCTTGCGCATTTTTTTCATATCTCTGTGGGCCATCTGTATGTCCTCCTTGGAGAATGTCTATTCCTGTCCTTTGCCAATTTTTAAATTGGATTGTCTGTCTTTCTGGTGTTGAGTCATATGAGTTGTTTATATATTTTGGAGATTAAACTTTTGTCCGATGTATCGTTGGCAGATATGTTCTCCCATACAGTCAGTTCCCTTTTCATTTTGAGGCTGGTTTCTTTAGCCATGCAGAAGCTTTTTAATTTGACGTAGTCCCTTTAGTTTATTTTTTCCTTTACTTCCTTTGCTGATAGAAGGTATATCAACAAAAGTATTGCTATGTGAGATATCTAAAATTTTACTGCCTATGTTTTCCGCTAGGACTTTTTGGTATCTCAACTTATATGTAAGTCTTTCATCCATTTTGAGTTTATTCTGATGTACGGTGTAAGCTGGTGGTCTAGTTTCATTTTTTCTTTTTTTTTTTTTGCATGTACCAGTCCAGTTCTCCCAATACCATTTACTGAAGAGGCTATTTTTACTCCATTTTATGCTTCTGCCCCCTTTGTCTAATATTAATTGACAATAGAGACGTAAGTTTATTTCTGGGTTCTCTGTTCTGTTCCATCGATCTGTATGTCTGTTCTTATGCCAGAACCAGACTGTTTTGATTGCATTGCCTTGTAGTATAGTTTAATGTCAGGTATTGTGATCTGCCCAATTTTGTTCTTCTTTCTCAAGATTGCTGAGGCTATTCAGGGTCTTTTTGGGTTCCATACAAATTTTTTAAGTATTTGTTTTATATCTGTGAATATGCCCTTGGTATTTTAATAGGAATTGTATTGAATCTATAGATTAATTTGGGTAGTATGGACATTTTAATGATGTTAATTTTTCCAGCCCGTGAACAGGGTATATACTTCCATTTATTTGTATCTTCCTTAATTTCTTTCTTCAGTGTTCTATAGTTTTCTGAGTACAGGTCTTTTACCTCCTTGGTTAAATTTATTTTTATGTTCTTTACTTGTTTTGCTGCTATAGTAAATGGGATTTTTTTTTCTTAGTTTCTCTTTCGGGTAGTTCATTGTTGGTGTACAAAAATACCATTGATTTCTAAATACTGACTCCATATCCCACTACTTTGCCAAATTTATTTATTAGGTCGAGTAGTTTTTTGGGGGAGCCTATAGGGTTTTCTGTGTACACTATCATGTGATCTGCAAATAATGACTTTTACTTTCTCCTTTCCAATTTAGATGACTTTTATTTCTTCTTGTCTGATTGCTGTGGTTAGGACCTCCAGTACTATATTGATTAAGAGCGGAGAAAGCAGACTCCCTTGTCTTGTTCCTGACCTTAAGAGGAATGCTTTTAGTTTTTGCCCCTTGAGTTATGATGTTGGCAGTACGTTTTTCATATATAGCCTTTATTATGGCGAGGTATGCTCCCTCTATTCCCACTTTGCTGGGTGTTTTTATCATGAATAGGTGCTGGATTTTATCAAATGCTTTTTCTGCATCTATTGATATGGTCATGTGATTTTTGTCTTTCATTTTGTTTATGTGATGTATCACATTTATTGATTTG